TTCGTGGGATATTTGGTTCCAAATATAGGTGCTGAATTTTTTATAAAATATTGGACCTAGCTCAATTCTGAAACCATTTTCAGATTCAGCATAGATTTTAGTCTTAAATGGCAAATTTCAGTTTCGCTCGGCCTTAAGATACCGAAATAATACTACAAATTTTTGAAAACAAAAAAAATTCGGGAATTTTGATGAAACAGTGGACCTAGGTCCATTCTGAGTCCATTTTCGGATTCAGCATGGGAATTTACCAGAAAGGTGAGTTTCCAGCCAGATTCGGCCAGTAGTTTTCGAGATTAAAGCAAACAAAAAAATAAAATTGAAATTTTGTTTTAATAAGGGTCCCAGGCCCAACGGTCATCAAAAATTTTGAATTTTTTTTATTTTTGCTTCAAACTCGGGAACTACTGCCCGAATCTGGCTGCAAACTCACCTTTCTGGTAAAATCCCACGCTGAATCCAAAAATGGAATCAGATTGGACCTGGGACCAATATTTCATCAAAATTCCCGAAAATTTTTTATTTTAAGCATTTTGTGGTATTATATCGGGGTCTTGAGGTCTAGAGCTGCAAAAATTTAACATTCAATATTAGAACTTAAGCTGAATCTGAAAATGAACTCTTAGTGGACCTGAGACCAATATTTCATGAAAATTTACGAACAAAATTTCAGACCGATTTTACTACATAATCTTATGTTATCTCAAAATATCTCAATATTTCCTTTAAATTGGGGGGTTATTGTCTTGACTATTCAAAAATTTACTAACCAAGACAAGAACCTTTCATATTAAAAAAATCTTGATGTGAAATGAAATTTCGTGGGATATTTGGTTCAAAATTTTTGTGTTGAAATTTTTATGAAATATTGGACCTAGCTCAATTCTGAAACCATTTTCGGATTCAGCATAGATTATAGTCTTAAATAACAAATTTCAGTTTCCCTCGGCCTTAAGATACCGAAATAATACTACAAATTGTTGAAAACAAAAAAATTTCGGGAATTTTGATGAAACAGTGGACCTAGGTCCATTCTGAGTCCATTTTCGGATTCAGCATGGGAATTTACCAGAAAGGTGAGTTTCCAGCCAGATTCGGCCAGTAGTTTTCGAGATTAAAGCAAACAAAAAAATAAAATTGAAATTTTGTTTTAGTATGGGTCCCAGGCCCAACGGTCATCAAAAATTTTGAATTTTTTTTATTTTTGCTTCAAACTCGGGAACTACTGGCCGAATCTGGCTGCAAACTCACCTTTCTGGTAAAATCCCACGCTGAATCCAAAAATGGAATCAGATTGGACCTGGGACCAATATTTCATCAAAATTTCCGAAAAATTTTTATTTTAAAGTATTTGTAGTATTATATCGGGGTCTTGAGGCCTAGAACTGCAAAAATTTTACATTCAATATTAGAACTTAAGCTGAATCCGAAAATGAACTCTTAGTGGATCTGAGACCAATATTTCATGAAAATTTCCGAACAAAATTTCAGACCGATTTTGCTACTAAATTTTATGTTATCTCAAAATTTTCCAATATTTTTTTTACACTTGGGGGTTTTTGTCTTGACTATTGAAGAATATGCTAGCCAAGACCAGAACCTCACATTTAGTAAAATCTTGATGTAAAATGAAATTTCGTGGGATATTTCGTTCAAAATTTTTGTGACGAAATTTTTATGAAATATTGGACCTAGCTCAATTCTGAAACCATTTTCGGATTCAGCATAAATTATAGTCTTAAATGACAAATTTCAGTTTCCTTCGGCCTTAAGATCCCGAAATAATAGTACAAACTGTTGAAAGTAAAAAAAATTCGGGAATTTTGATGAAATATTGGTCCCAGGTCCATTCTGAGTCCATTTTCGGATTCAGCATGGGAATTTACCAGAAAGGTGAGTTTCCAGCCGGATTCGGCCAGTAGTTTTCGAGATATAAGCAAACAAAAAAATAAAATTGAAATTTTGCCCAACGGTCATCAAAAATGTTGAATTTTTAAATTTTTGCTTCAAACTCGGGAACTACTGGCCGAATCTGGCTGCAAACTCACCTTTCTGGTAAAATCCCATGCTGAATCCAAAAATGGGCTCGAAATGGACCTGGGACCAATATTTCATCAAAATTCCCGAAAATTTTTTATTTTAAGCAATTTGTGGTATTATATCGGGGTCTTGAGGTCTAGAGCTACAAAAATTTGACATTCAAGATTATAACTTAAGCTGAATCCGAAAATGAACTCTTAGTGGATCTGAGACCAATATTTCATGAAAATTTTCGAACAAAATTTCAGACCGATTTTGCTACAAAATTTTATGTTATCTCAAAATTTTCCAATATTTCCTTTAAATTGGGGGTTATTGTCTTGACTATTCAAAAATTTGCTAGCAAAGACAAGAACCTTTCATATTAATAATATGTTAATGTGAAATGAAATTTCGTGGGATATTTGGTTCAAAATTTGTGTGCTGAGATTTTTATGAAATATTGGACCTAGCTCAATTCTGAAACCATTTTCGGATTCAGCATAGATTATAGTCTTAAATGACAAATTTCAATTTCCCTCGGCCTGAAGATCAGGAAATAGTAGTGCAAATTGTTCATAATAAAAAATATCGGGAATTTTGAAGAAACAATAGACCTAGGTCCATTCTTAGTCCATTTTCGGATTCAGCATGGGAATTTACCAGAAAGGTGTGTTTCCAGCCAGATTCGACCAATAGTTTTCGAGATTAAAGCAAACAAAGAAATAAATTTTAAATTTGGTTTTAGTATGGGTCCTAGGTCCAATATTCTTCAAAATTTCAGTTTTTAGTTTGTTTTTGCTTCAAGCTCTGGAACTACTGGGCGAATCTGGCTGCAAGCTCATCTTTCTGGTAAAACCCCATGCTGAAACCAAAAATGGACTCAGATTGGCCCTGGGACCAATATTTCGTCAAAATACCCGATTTTTTTTTTATTTTAAGCAATTTGCGGTATTATATCGTGGTTTTCAGGTCTAGAGCTGTAAAAATTTGTCATTCAAGATAAATACTTAAGCTGAATACGAAAATGAACTCATAGTAGACCTGAAACCAGAGCGATTTTCCTACGAAATTTAATTATCTTGTCTATAGAAAATTATTTGCTAGCCAAGGCCATAACAGAACTAAAACTGAACTATAACTGAAGAAAATTGTATAAAACTGCTGTGGAATTGTTTCAGATCTTGAACTGAATAAAAGACTAAAATTGTTTGTTTATTTGTATCTTTATTTAAGATTTCTGTTATTATCTTAAATATACCTCTACTATTTTATATTGGTTTTATACTATGTTTAAAAAGCCTGGTGGTGATCCCATCATGATGATAGATGCTGCCTCATTATCATCAGCCACAGTGATAAATAATTCAGGTTTTAAAGAACCAAGAACTAGAAATGGTAAGAATGAATGAAATTTTCTGTGACCGATGCCTTAGGCAAACCATATACTGGCAGACGCAATGTCTCGGTTAGTCCCTAGTGTTTTCAATGGATCCTCTGTAGAATCTGTTACAAGCTCCCTTTTAAGATCTAGTTAAAAAAAAACCTTGACAAGACCAAAAAATCCCATCTACTTAGGGCCAGGTAACTCACTATTCTTAGCCCCTTTCTAGCCGTATTTTTTAAGCATTTTAGCCTTTTCTGGAACTTTTTAATGTCCGATTTAGACTTTAATTTCTGAAGCTCCTAGCAACACTGATAAAGACTATAGTCAGACATTAGTAAAGACTACAGTCAAGACCCTGGTAAAGGCTATAGTAAGGACTATAGTAAAGTCTAAAGTAAATGCTACTGTCACGATTACAGTCAAGAGAAGTCTCTGGTTCTGGTATTTAAATACAAAACTTCTTAGTTAACTACTTTGTAAGCGAACATAATAATAAGTACTTATTATACTCCATATTTGTAAGCGAACTTGGCAATTTGTTGCCCCCATGTCATCGCTGTATAAGCTAGCGAATTAAAATGTAAAAGTGTAAGTACTGTAGCTATTGTAACTTTTCAACTCTTTACTTTCTAATGTCAATATTTGCAGAAATAATCAAGACAACGTTGCTAGTAAGTTTGAAAATCTAAGAGAATTTTGACAAATTTTCTAAAATTTTTGATATCAATCATTGAACTAATGATACAAAACTTCTTCTTATCACAAATTTACCCTGTTACAATTCACAACATAAATAATTAAAATAATTTTTAAAACATACAAGGGATCTTTGTGTTTTTTTATGTTGATTACAATAATTTTAAAATCATTTATTTATTATTTTATTTAGGTTTAAATTTTCTTTTTTGTATTTTTTAATTTAATCAAATTGTTATCAATAATTAACATATATAAAACAAATTATACTACACAATAATTATAATAATAATAAAATAATATTAAAAAAAAAAAACATAACCCTTCTAGGGTATAAGTTTACAAAAATAAATCATCATCATATACAATACATACACATAAATTAAAATTATATAAATTTTTTTTCTTTACTAAATTATAACAAACATCAAAAGTAAAAGTTTTTATTTTTTGAAATCAAATTGATAAAATATGTTTTTTTGTTTTGAAATAAAAATATTTAAAAAAAAAAAAAGTAGTGAAAAATTTTATTAAAAGTAATTGGCTAAAAACAGTGTTAATTATATATATTTTATAAAAACTTTACACACAAAATATATTTATATTTATTTTTTTCATTTTCATTTTTGTTTTTTTTTTTTTTAAGTGAAATCATTAAAATTAAATAAAAATTATTGTGATATTTATTACACCAAAACAAAATTGTCTATTACATACAAGTGTTCTTTAAAAAAAATGTTAAATTTTATATATATTTTTTTTAACAAAATTCAGTTGATCTGGGTTTTTTTTGTTTAAATTAAGCTTAGAGCTGTTTTTAATCCTATTTTTTTGTTTTATTTATTTTTTTTTTTTAATTTTTTAAGTTTTATATAATAAGGTACAATTTTCTTTATACAAAATTTACATTTACAAATATTTCTTTTTTTTTTTTTTGTTATTTATTTAAAAAAATCTGTTTTTTCAATTATCTTTTAATTTTTTTTTATAAGGCTTTTTTTAAAATATTTTAAACCTTTATATTTTTATAACATTTATTTAGTTAATTTTTTTAGAAAATTCTATGTCCTTTGTGTTTCCCGTTGCTCCTGACTTTTCGTTTTCTTCAGTGGCACTCTCACAAATGTATTCAGTTCTTCCGTTTGTTTGTTGGAACGTTGGGCTAGTTTTTTAGAATTTCTATTCAGATTATATAATTCTAAATCTTCCTCTTCATCATCATCGTCTTCATCTTCGATATTTATCTCACCATGTTGTTGTTGTTGCTGCTGCTGTGTTTGCACTTGTCTTTCATAGTCGATTTCCTCTTCTTCTTCGTCGTCGTCTTCTTCATCCTCCTCTCCGAGATTAGCTTCAGCATCAACCTTTAGTAGAGTACTTGACGAGGTAATACGATTTTTCCGACGTCCATTGGTGGGTATTTTATTGTACTTGGTTGTTTTACGGGCCGGGTGGTTTGTGGAGCGCTAAAAGAAAAGATTTGGAAAAAGAAAAGAAAAGATTTTATTCGGAGAGTCTTTAAAATGAAATTTGTATAAAGTTGAAAATCTAAGGAGAAGACCTTCTAGGTGGTCTTATGGATTAAACTTGTACATAAGTCTTTACAAAGTCTGTATCTATTGATTTCTACTTTATCACAGAGAATCCTCCTAAACCCTCAACCTTCAAAAAGGTTTTGTAGTTGCAGTCCCAAAAGTTTCAAATATGCTTGTCTGCTAAAACAAATAACGATCTATATAAAAAAAAACATATAAAAAATGTCCTTAATGCTGTTAAAATTTCTCTCTACATATAGGCTGTAGTTTTAGACAACCAAATTATACCGTTTAGTATTTTTTTCAGTTTTATTTGACTTGTTTTTCTATCTAAAAACGGCATATTTAATGAGTTTTTACTCTTTTTTTTTACTTCTCTTCAAATATGCTATGTTTAAAGGATATAAAATGGGATTTTTTATATGCCAACATGATGCTTAAGGCTAAACGTTTCAAAGTATTTGATTTCTAGGTTTTTACCATCAGTTTTTTTATAGGATTTACATATGTGTATTGTAGGTCATTGTAGCCCTTAAAACATGCACATTTTTAGGGATTTTTTTTAATTTTAAAGAATTTAATATTAATTTTTCACCATATACAATCTTCCATCCTTGAGCAAAAAGCAGAGGCGTCACGAGCAAAAACCTATGTATTAAATTCTGCAAACACACGACGTTTGTACCAAACTTATTCTTGTTTTCTTCAAAATTACGATTCATCTTCAAGTATAAAATCTAAATTAGGCGTATACTTAATATTTGTACTATCGATTAAGCATTAACACGTATACGTACAGGTGTCGTCAATAAAAACAGTGCAGTTTGACAATGTAAACCTTTCCACTTGAAATGAAAAGCAAGGAAGACTACAAGAGAGTAAATAAAAAATCCGAAAGGTTTGCAAAGTATGAGCCTGAGAAAATTACCTTTTTTGCGAAAAAGACACAGATGCCCCTAACCTTTGGGAGTTAGTTAGTTAGTTAGGTAGTTAGTTAGTTAGTTAGTTAGTTAGTTAGTTAGTTAGTTAGTTAGGTAGTTAGTTAGTTAGTTAGTTAGTTAGTTAGTTAGTTAGTTAGTTAGTTAGTTAGTTAGTTAGTTAGTTAGTAGTTAGTTAGTAGTTAGTTAGTTAGTTAGTTAGTTAGTTAGTTAGTTAGTTAGTTAGTTAGTTAGTTAGTTAGTTAGTTAGTTAGTTAGTTAGTTAGTTAGTTAGTTAGTTAGTTAGTTAGTTAGTTAGTTAGTTAGTTAGTTAGTTAGTTAGTTAGTTAGTTAGTTAGTTAGTTAGTTAGTTAGTTAGTTAGTTAGTTAGTTAGTTAGTTAGTTAGTTAGTTAGTTAGTTAGTTAGTTAGTTAGTTAGTTAGTTAGTTAGTTAGTTAGTTAGTTAGTTAGTTAGTTAGTTAGTTAGTTAGTTAGTTAGTTAGTTAGTTAGTTAGTTAGTTAGTTAGTTAGTTAGTTAGTTAGTTAGTTAGTTAGTTAGTTAGTTAGTTAGTTAGTTAGTTAGTTAGTTAGTTAGTTAGTTAGTTAGTTAGTTAGTTAGTTAGTTAGTTAGTTAGTTAGTTAGTTAGTTAGTTAGTTAGTAGTTAGTTAGTTAGTTAGTTAGTTAGTTAGTTAGTTAGTTAGTTAGTTAGTTAGTTAGTTAGTTAGTTAGTTAGTTAGTTAGTTAGTTAGTTAGTTAGTTAGTTAGTTAGTTAGTTAGTTAGTTAGTTAGTTAGTTAGTTAGTTAGTTAGTTAGTAGTTAGTTAGTTAGTTAGTTAGTTAGTTAGTTAGTTAGTTAGTTAGTTAGTTAGTTAGTTAGTTAGTTAGTTAGTTAGTTAGTTAGTTAGTTAGTTAGTTAGTTAGTTAGTTAGTTAGTTAGTTAGTAGTAGTTAGTTAGTTAGCTAGTTAGAAACCCTGGTTTCTATCGGACCCTGTTTTCAGTTAGTTATAAAAATTCTTGAAAGTACAGTGAAATTCGTTTTAGCTGCGGTTTTTTGTATCGAAATACAATCTTTTTAAAGCAGATATCGTGGCTTTACTATAAGTCTCTTTAGTAGATCCCTTTAGCTGATCTGTTGAAATGATTTCACTTTATAATATTGACAACAAATTGTACAGATCCTAAAATTTCGACTCATACCCATAACATTTCGATACCAGACATTTTACGTACCAAAAATATTAACATACATACCTACATAAATATGAATATCTATGCACATATACAGTCCTCATAACGGAATTGTTTCCAGGACATGTACTTATAAAAGTATGCAACACAAATGCGTGAGTGAGTGAATGTCTGTGACTTCATGCCTGTATTTTATCTTTATGTTTTAGCCTATTAAAAAATGGCTGTGTATCATTTATTTAAATGGTCTTTAAAAGTACGTGTATGCTTTTCAAGTACAAAATCCAATTTTTCGTAATTTTTTTTATAAAACACAACAAAATTGTTGAAAAAGTTTTTTTTCGAAACCGTTTCTACTGCTGGTTTTTATAGAGTTTTGCTTCTTTGTTTAAAGGCTTAAAATATTCGCAAATTTATAAAAAATGTACAGTTTTGCTACTAGGGTCCTGGTAGTCATTTTAAGCTATACAAATATGCCAAATTGTATGTGGGAATATATATGAGTGTTTATTTAGTTATATGAAGAGTGTAGTATGTAAAATATTTATATTAAAAAAACAACGACAGTTTTAATACTAGACATTGATAAATTGGCGCCCCTTAAATGTGAAAAATGTAAAATAAAAATTCTGCCAACGAAAAAAAAATTATAGAAAAAGAAATTGAATACGATTTTATTTTGTCTATGTATTTATGTCATAATGTTTTTACAAGCGATTAAATTTTGTTCTTGTCAATTGACATGCTATAAAACATGTATTGGTGATAAAGTTAAACAAATATAAATACATACACGCATACATGTACATAGTTATTCAAAAAAGTGTAAATGTAGATATTAGGGTAGTATTATTTTATATGTTGTTTTACGTCATATTTTGTCAGTATTTTTCTAGAAGCCAAATAACCTCCTAATATTTACACATACATACACATGCGAATGTGTCCTAATGAAATTACTCATATCCTTTAACATTTACTGACTAATACCATTTTAATGTCTTGTTGTTTTTAGCAAACCTATTGAAGCATAATTCAATTGTTAAAATTTTTACATAAAATTTACATAGAAAAAAACAATTAAGGTTTTTTACAGAGATTACATACTAGACAAAGTTTTATATTTTTAATCCTTAGATTTGCTTGATTGGGGCATAAATAATATCCTAAAATTACCTAAAAAACACATACATATAACATTGTCTAAAATAACTGTTATTATTGTAGAAAATATCCTTGAAACTGGCTTTACTTGCTTGTCTTGGTAAAGTATGTAAATGTGTTTAAAGGTATTAGGTGACATTGATTGATTAATCACAGTATACTTACAAGGAGCATGTTTATGTTGGAAATCAATTAAAATTAAATTAAGTAAAATCAAATAAGCCATATGAAAATGTCAAGATTTATATTTTGTTTGGTTTAAATAACTCAATGAAAATACCTGACCTTTAGTCATATTTAAGAAAATGTGCTCCAAGCTTACTTGTAGGGTTGAGGTCATACGCCAGACTACAAAATTAGAAAATAGTCAACATAATAGCAGAAAACAGACCTGCATATATTATAGTCCAGTCTACCGACTGTTAATACAATAGAGTGTCAATACCATAGACTAGACTATAGCCCAGACCATATACTAAAGTCAAGACTACATATATATCAGACTATAGTAAAGACCATAGACCAGATATAAGTCAAGGCTACAGACCAGTCATTGTCAAGATTATAGACCAGTTTATAGTCAAAGCTATAGACCAGTCCACAGTCTATAGTCAGGACTATATACTAGTCTATATTATAGACTAGAGACTAGTCTATAACTAAGACTATTGACCAGTCTGTATGCAAGACTATAGACCAGCCTATATAAATGATTATAGACCAGTCTATAGGAAAGATTATAGACCAGTCTATTGGCAAGATTTTAGACTAGTTTATAGGCAAACCTATAGACCAGTCTATAGGCAAGACTATAGATTAGTCTATAAGCAAGGCTATAGACCAGTCTATGGGCAAGACTATAGATATGTAAATCTATAGGCAAGACTATAGATCAGTCTATAGACAAGACTATGACCAATCTATAGGCAAGGCTACGGACAAGACTATAGACCAGATAAAAGTCAAGGCTACAGACCAGTCCATAGTCAAGATTATAGACCAGTCCAAAGTCAAGACTATGACCAGTCCATAGTCAAGACTATAGACTAGTCCATAGTTAAGACTATAGACCAGTATATAGTCAAGACTATAGACCAGTCTATAGTCAGGACTAGAGACCAGTTTATAATTGAGACTATAGACCAGTCTGTAGGCAAGACTATAGACCAGGCTTTATAAATGATTATAGACCAGTCTATAGGAAAGATTATAGACCAGTCTATTGGCAAGACTTTAGACTAGTTTATAGGCAAACCTATAGACCACTCTATAGGCAAGACCATAGATGAGTCTATAAGCAAGGCTATAGACCAGTCCATGGACAAGACTATAGATATGTAAGTCTATAGGCAAGACTATGACCAGTCTATGGGCAAGGCTTCAGACAAGTCCATATGCAAGACTGTAGGTCAATCTATAATCAAGACCATAGACCAGTCTATAAGCAAGACCATAGATCAGTCTATTATCAAGATCTATTGGCAAGACTATAGACTAGTTTATAAGCAAACCTATAGACCAGTCTATAGGCAAGACTATAGATTAGTCTATAAGCAAGGCTATAGACCAGTCTATGGGGAAGACTATAGATCAGTCTATAGGCAAGACTGTAGCCTTGCCTATAGACTGGTCATAGTCTATAGGCAAGGCTACAGACCAGTCTATAGGCAAGACTATAGACAAGTCCATACGCAAGACTGTAGGCCAATCTATAATCAAGACCATAGACCAGTCTATAAACAAGATTATAGATCAGTTTATTATCAAGATTATAGACCAACCTATAAACAAGACCATGTACCAGCCTATAGGAATGACTATAGACCAGTCTATAGGTAAGACTATAGACTAGTTTATAGGCTAGACTAGTCCATGAGCAAACCTATAGAACGGTCTATAGGCAAAACTATAGACCAGTCTATAGGCATGACTATAGACCAGTCTACAGGCAAGACTATTGACCGGTCTATAGGCAAGTTTATAGAACCGTCTATAGGCATGTCTATAGACCGGTCTATAGGCAAGTTTATAGACCGATCTATAGGCAAGTCTATAGACTAGTCTATAAGCAAAACTTTAGACCAGTCCATAGGCAAGACTATAGAGCATTCCATTTTCAAAACTATAGACCAGTCTATAGCCAAAACTAGGCTTTAGCCAGGATTAGTTAGAGCCTAGTTTTTCAAAATATATTCTACACTTTACCTAAATTACTCTGTTCATGTCGAACTTTTAAATTCACTTTGAAGGACATTTATTAATAGATAATCTCATATGGCAAGAAAAAATCTTATCATGTCATACCTTCGAATTATTATTTAAATATAATATTTTTGATATTTTTATCTTTTTATTAAAAGTCCCTGCATAAACTCATATAGACCTTATAAAACATTATCCTAGTAGTTAAGACCTTAACACGTCATAACATCAAATCTTCCACAAAATAAAGTCAACAAAAGAGCAGGAAAAATCCCGAAAATAATAATCCTCCATGAGTACCAAACAAAGTAAGACGAGGGGGAAATCAAAAATATGATTTCATATTTGTGACTTGTATGTTTAATATTGCAGACAAGTGACACATAATAGAGGAAAACATCCCACACATTCATACACATTTAAGTATTTAGGTAAGAATACATGACCTGGCTTTGTGTCAAATAAAATAACAACAAATACGGCAGACAACCTATATATACAGCACGTGTAATCTGCTTTTTGATTTGTCAGCAATACGAAGCCACCTACAAGGATTTGCTCACTCACAAACACAAACAAATACACACACATATTTACGTATGTGGGCAAAACCATACATATTCATATTCCACAAAATCCTTAGTTTACCAACAACAAGCTAAACTACTACTAACATAACTAATAACAAAACAAACTTATTGAAGATAGTGGCAACAGAAAGATAACACGTTAGTAAGAGAAGCAGGGGGGAAGGTGAGATTTGACTAAGAAATCCTTATTAAACACCTTAAAATGTACCAACCTGTAAGACGGCAAATATGACAGCAAATACGGTAACAATAAGTAGACAGGCAGCAACCGCAATTGCTGTTATAGTTGTTAACGGTGAACCAACACGTGAGAATAAACCACTAACACCTGTTGACGAGCCATCTGTATCATCTAGTAAATTCCCATAAAGACCGCCACTATTGCCATAGGAACTACCAAATTGTTGCTGTTCGGCTGCGGCTGCTATGCGACGTTTGCCAGCAGGCGAAGCATTTATACAACCACCTGTGAAAATAGGAGACAAATAAACATACAAATGATTAAAACTCATAACAGGAGGAACATTTAATCAAATATTTACTTAATTGGGCAGACAGGAATATGCCGCTAGTATGCTGTTATAATATAATTAATTAAGTTTAAATTTTATTTAACTCACCTGTATCTTTATCACAGTGACAGCAGGATTGATCCTCGGGCGAAGCATCATTGGCACAACAGGGTACACACTGATTATTGAGACGATCTAGATGTAGGGGGAAGGCACAGGTTTGACAGGAATATTGGCCAGGTCCTGTGCAAGAACGACATGATTCATGACATGTTTTGCACGTTTGCGTTGGTGAATCGTAGTATTGTGAACCTAAACATTCCATACAGAGACCACCATCCAACATAAAGTGTGCAGGACATGAGGTACAAGCTAATGGACCAGCACCTGAATAGAATGAAATGATTTTGTTTTGAAGAGGGAAAGTTTTAATGAAATGAATTGTATGTAATACATATTTTCTTAACATTTAATTATAGAATTATGAAAAAGCTTTTTATTTTTTATTAAAAAGCTTTCCTTTAAAGATTTTTAAGTAAAAAGATCTTGTTGACCCTTTTTTGAAAGTTTTGTATAAAAAATAAGTTTTCAAAACTTTTCTATAAAGAAATAATTTTTAGAAAATTGTGTGAGCAAAAAAAGCTTTCGAATATTTTTATAAAAAACTAAATTTTGTAAAAACCAAGTAATTTTTTAAATTTTTTATAAAGAAAGAAATCTTTTAAAAATTTTTCTAAAAAAATTTTTTTAAGAAAGTTTCAGAGAAAACATTTCTTAATAAAAGTCTTAGGTTGTTTTAAAAAACATTTTGGTGAAAAAGCTTTTTATAAAAACTTCTACATTAAGAAACTTTTTTGACATCTTTTATAGTAAAAAGCTTTCAGTAAATCAGTAAATAAAAGCTTACTGATGGCATCATATGAGCTTTTTGTAAAATGCCTTTTAAAAACATTTTCAATGCAAAGATTTTACAGAAAAAATAGTCAGTATTTTTTTGAAAAAGCTTTATTTTACAGAAAGCTATTTATTAAAGCTTTTAAAAAAATTTGGTTTTTTGTAAAAGACCCTTTCAGCCTTTACAGTAAAAAGCTTTCTGTTAATTTTTTCAGTAAATAAAAGCTTTTATTAGAAAGGTTTCTAAATGGAAAGCTCTTTATGGAATATCTTACTGATGACATGATACGAGCTTTTTGTAAGAAGCTTTTTAAAAGTATCTTCAATGCAAAGCTTTTATAGAAAAAAATGGAAACAGTATTTTTCTGTAAAAAGCTTTTTTACAGAAAGCTATTTATAAAAAAGCTTTTATAAAAACTTAAGTTTTTTTGTGAAATACCTTTTAAAACGGCTTTCGGTGTTAATAAAAAGTTTTTTGAAATACATTCTTTTTATAAAAGCTTTTTCAGTAATTGTTTTTCCACTAAAATGCTCATACAAAGGAGTTCTCTAAAAGCTTTTACAGTAAATTTAATTTTTTAGTAAGAATCTTTTTACAAAAGCTTAGTTTCTATAAAAGTTTTTTTTCGAAGCATTTTCAGCGTAAAACTTTTACAGAAATAAGCTTTTTTAACAGAAAGCTGTTTATTAAAGCTTTATTAGAAAAAAAAAAAACATTTTCGGTCAAAAACTTTTAGTTTTTTGTAAAAATGCTTTTAAAACGGCTATTGATATAAATAAAAAGTTGTTTGATATAAAATCTTTCTAAAATACTATTCCAAGTTCTAAAACTGCATGGTCATGAACCCATTTTGGTCACAAAATGTTCAGTATTAATATGTATTTAAAACTCATACAATATAAACTATTGGACACAAAAACAGCTAAAAAGAAATTTGCACAGCATAAAAATGTCAATTTCCTCTTAAAAAACATGTTTAAATATTGCGTTTTTTTTTTTGCTATAAAAATTGCTATTGACGGAACAACATATTGCACCTTAAATCTGAACACATACAAATTGCAACTCAAACATATAAAAAGCGTACATACATATACAAAAGTTAGGTACACACAGACATAAAACAAAAAACAAAAAAACGTATACAACACTTACCATTACAAGTTTTACAATAATGATGACACTTTTGACAACCAAACTCTGACTTATAAAAACCTTCGGGACATTCAGGATGACATTCACCACCAGCTAACTGCCAACCACTGGGGCATTGAACGCATTGATCACGACGCGGACCACTGCAGGTATGACAGCTGAGATAACACTTGGCACAGGTGCCACGGTCGCTATAATAGCTGTTCATAGCAATGGCGCGATGATGACCACGTTGAAAAGCACGATAATGATGGCAACAATGGAAAATTTCATAGAAAGAAAATAAAATAGTATGGAAAAGAAAAAGTGTGAATAAAAGTTAAAGAATATATATATATATATATATAGTCATAATGTTTCATAAAGGTAAGTTTCTCTTTGGAAGTATTTTATCTTTTTTTGTAAAATGTTTCAGCAAAGTTTTTCAGTGTTAAGAGTTTTCAGAAAAAAACTATGATTTGTCTAAAAGTTTTGGAAAAAATATAATAACAAAACAAAGTTATTGTTAAAATAAATGATAGTAGTAGGGTGGTTTAGAAAATTTTATGAAAATATTCTTAAAAAAGGAACGTATTCGAAATGTTTGAAAATTTTGTATAAATAGATTCGAAAACAGTAGAGAAATTTTCGAAAATTTTCTATAAAGAAGAGAAATTTTCGAAAATTTTCTATAAAGAAGAGAAATTTTCGAAAATTTTCTATAAAGAAGAAAAATTTTCGAAAATTTTCTATAAAGAAGAGAAATTTTCGAAAATTTTCTATAAAGTAGAAAAATTTTCAAAAATTTTCTTAAAGAAGAGAAATTTTCGAAAAATTTCCTTAAAGTAGAGAAATTTTCGAAAATTTTCTATAAAGAAGAGAAACTTTCAAAAATTTTCTATCAAGAAGAGAAACTTTCGAAAATTTTGTATAAAGAAGAGAAATTTTCGAAAATTTTCTATAAAGAAGAGAAACTTTCGAAAATTTTCTATAAAGAAGAGAAACTTTCGAAATAAAGAAAATTTTTATAAAAATTGAGAATTTAAAAAAGTATTTTTTTTTTAATTTTTATAAAAAAAAGAGATTTTTCTTTTATTGTTAATTTAATCAATTGTAATTATCAGTTGCTCTTAACAACCAATAGCCTATTGATATCACTTATGTCCATTAAGATAAAAATATATTTTCTTTGCAAAATTCAATATGTTAAAATTTAATAAACCCATTATAAATCGATTTCATTTTAACATTTTGTAAAAAGAAAAAAAAAAAAAAAAAAAAAAAAAAAAAAAAAAAAACTCTTCAAAAGCGAAACAAAGTATATTGTTAATAGTAAAAGTTTTCATCTTTTATGGCCCACAATACTTACCCATCGGCACAGGTAGTACGACATTCACCACTTTGCAGTTGTAATCCTTTGGCACAGGCTGTACAATTCATACGTGAGACACATTGAGTACATGTATGTAGACATTTAGCACAAACGCCAGCCTCCATATAGAAACCATCATCGCACGAGCTAACGCAGTGATTGTTTTGCAGCAGCAGACTTTGGGGACAACTTAAACAATTTGATTCGGTGGGTCCATCACATGTCTCACAAGTGCTATGACATGGATGACAATGGTTGTTATCGTAGTATTCAGCTGAAAACAAGACAAGAGGAAATTAAAAAAGAAAATCTATGTAACAAAGTGGACAAAAAATGGAAACTATAGTTTCCAATTTACATTAATGGAGCCAAACATATGTATGTATATAGATTGTAGTAGAATTTTAAAAGCAGCCTTAAGGTTTGGATGGAAATAACGAAATCTTAAAGCGTTCATGAATATGGGGTGAATTTTAGTCATTCATTAACTTTAGCGAAATTTATAATCTTGGTAAGAAGTCGAATAAAGTGGCTATATGTATGAACAATATTTCATAAGTTTGCTTATTTTCCAGACAGCAGAGCATACTATAGTTTTGCTTGGTCAGTTCCAGTTCAGTTCTAGTTCGTTCTAGTTCATTCTAGTTCAGTCTAGTCAGTTCTAGTTCAGTTCTAGTTCAGTTCTATTCAGTTCTAGTTCAGTTCTAGTTCAGTTCTAGTCAGTTCTAGTTCAGTTCTAGTTCAGTTCTAGTTCAGTTCTAGTTCAGTTCTAGTTCAGTTCTAGTTCAGTTCTAGTTCAGTTTCTAGTTCAGTTCTAGTTCAGTTCTAGTTCAGTTCTAGTTCAGTTCTAGTTCAGTTCTAGTTCAGTTCTAGTTCAGTTCTAGTTCAGTTCTAGTTCAGTCAGTTCTAGTTCAGTTCTAGTTCAGTTCTAGTTCAGTTCTAGTTCAGTTCTAGTCAGTTCTAGTTCAGTTCTAGTCATTCTAGTTCAGTTCTAGTTCAGTTCTAGTGCAGTTCTAGTTCAGTTCTAGTTCAGTTCTAGTTCAGTTCTAGTTCAGTTCTAGTTCAGTTCTAGTTCAGTTCTAGTTCAGTCTAGTTCAGTTCAGTTCAGTTCTAGTTCAGTTCTAGTTCAGTTCTAGTTCAGTTCTAGTTCAGTTCTAGTTCAGTTCTAGTTCAGTTCTAGTTCAGTTCTAGTTCAGTTCTAGTTCAGTAGTCAGTTCTAGGTTCAGTTCTAGTTCAGTTCTAGTTCAGTTCTAGTTCAGTTCTAGTTCAGTTCTAGTTCAGTTCTAGTTCAGTTTCTAGTTCAGTTTCTAGTTCAGTTCTAGTTCAGTTCTAGTTCAGTTCTAGTTCAGGTTCTAGTTCAGTTCTAGTTCAGTTCTAGTTCAGTTCTAGTTCAGTTCTAGTTCAGTTCTAGTTCAGTTCTAGTTCAGTTTCTAGTTCAGTCTAGTTCTAGTTCAGTTCTAGTTCAGTTCTAGTTCAGTTCTAGTTCAGTTCTAGTTCAGTTCTAGTTCAGTTCTAGTTCAGTTCTAGTTCAGTTCTAGTTCAGTTCTAGTTCAGTTCTAGTTCAGTTCTAGTTCAGTTCTAGTTCAGTTCTAGTTCAGTTCTAGTTCAGTTCTAGTTCAGTTCTAGTTCAGTTCTAGTTCAGTTCTAGTTCAGTTCTAGTTCAGTTCTAGTTCAGTTCTAGTTCAGTTCTAGTTCAGTTCTAGTTCAGTTCTAGTTCAGTTCTAGTTCAGTTCTAGTTCAGTTCTAGTTCAGTTCTAGTTCAGTTCTAGTTCAGTTCTAGTTCAGTTCTAGTTCAGTTCTAGTTCAGTTCTAGTTCAGTTCTAGTTCAGTTCTAGTTCAGTTCTAGTTCAGTTCTAGTTCAGTTCTAGTTCAGTTCTAGTTCAGTTCTAGTTCAGTTCTAGTTCAGTTCTAGTTCAGTTCTAGTTCAGTTCTAGTTCAGTTCAGTAGTTCTAGTTCAGTTCTAGTTCAGTTCTAGTTCAGTTCTAGTTCAGTTCTAGTTCAGTTCTAGTTCAGTTCTAGTTTTCAGTTCTAGTTCAGTTCCTGTTCAGTTTAGTTCTAGAATCAGATCTGTATTTATGACGATACTATGTAAAGTTCTGATATATATTCCGAGAGGAATAACAATTTAGATCGTATGTAGTTACTGATTTCTGTTGTTGTTAGCTATATTTAGTACTTTTAATACCGTTATTTGCCCAAGGACGTTTTATAATGGGCAAGAGCAAAAAACCAAACACGAGAACCAACAACAAAATTCAGCAAATTCCTCTCATGTTATAGTATCAACAAAACAGAGCACAACAACAACAAAAGTTATGAATTGTTTGCATTTAAAATTACTCATACTATTACATTGAATGACCTTAAAAGACAGGTGAACGAGAGTGAGCAAGAAAGGCGAAAAAATGGCTCACATAACAATATCGCAAACAAAGAGTTAAAGCGTTTTTTTTTTTGTGTTTTCCTTTTATGTTTTTTTAAACAACAATTTATGGTCAAATATTTTGTATATACATAAATGTAGGTGTGTGCATGGAAGTCCTCTTGGCTGTTGTTGTTATTGTTCATGTTTTATTTGGATGACTGATAAAAATCCAATTTAAATTATGCATTTTTATTGCGTACAATATGTTGTTGTTATTGCAGATAAATTACCTTTTGAAGAGATTGTTGTTTTTTGGTAGTGTAAATGTGTGTGTGTGTATTTGCATTTTTTTACATTAAATCTATAAAGTAAAGCATACTTTTGGGTGATAAAGGTAATTTTAATGACATTTGCTTTTGAAATTTAATTTAAAAGATATTTTCCTTATTTAAATTACATTTTTTAAATGAAAATAAAAAGGTACAATGTAATAAAGGTTAATGTAGATAGATTATTATGTAAATATGGTTACACAATTTAATTAGAAAGTTAATTAAAATGTTTTCGGAAAATTTAAATGTTAAACCTTTTCTAAAAAAAATATGTTTCAAAAGAAAAGTATTAAAACTAAAAATTTGCTGATTTTGTAAACAACTCAAGTGTTGTTCAACATTTTTTTATGAAAACTACATTTAAATACACATACTTTAACTTGATTTATTAGCTTCCTGCAATGAAAATTGTCAACAACTCTGTTTGGAGTACAAAGATATTGAGTTTTTTTCTCCTTTCAATTTTAGTGATTTTGGTACAATGTTGATTTCACATGATTGATGTAAAAGTTCTTTTTAACCACATTTCAACTTTTGTTCATTTCAGAAAAACAAAAACGAGAAGAAAAACTCTCAACGGAAATGTGAACAAACAAATGCGTGACGCCTAAATGATTAACAAACGTTCATATAAATCAAATACGAAACCTCTATTGTACAAAGCTCTGACACCTCGGTCAAATATTAGAAGGACCATCATCATAAAATTCCAATACACAGCAATATATATTTGTGTATATGTATGTATAACAGACGCTAAAAGTGCCCTGTAAGAGCTGTTATCTTGAACAGCAAACAAAAATTGTCGCTGAAAAAACATACGCATTAGGTGGGTCCCATAAAAAGGTAATTTTTATACCTTTACAGTTCAATTTTAGATCTAGTTCAGTACTAGTTTAGTTCTAGTTCAGTTCTAGTACAGTTCTAGTTCAGTTCTAGTTCAGTTCTAGTTCAGTTCTAGTTCAGTTCTAGTTCAGTTCTAGTTCAGTTCTAGTTCAGTTCTAGATCAGTTCTAGTTCAGTTCTAGTTCAGTCTAGTTCAGTTCTAGTTCAGTTCTAGTTCAGTTCTAGTTCAGTTCTAGTTCAGTTCTAGTTCAGTTCTAGTTCAGTTCTAGTTCAGTTCTAGTTCAGTTCTAGTTCAGTTCTAGTTCAGTTCTAGTTCAGTTCTAGTTCAGTTCTAGTTCAGTTCTAGTTCAGTTCTAGTTCAGCTCTAGTTCAGTTCTAGTTCAGTTGTTCTAGTTCAGTTCTAGTTCAGTTCTAGTTCAGTTCTAGTTCAGTTCTAGTTCAGTTCTAGTTCAGTTCTAGTTCAGTTCTAGTTCAGTTCTAGTTCAGTTCTAGTTCAGTTCTAGTTCAGTTCTAGTTCAGTTCTAGTTCAGTTCTAGTTCAGTTCTAGTTCAGTTCTAGTTCAGTTCTAGTTCAGTTCTAGTTCAGTTCTAGTTCAGTTCTAGTTCAGTTCTAGTTCAGTTCTAGTTCAGTTCTAGTTCAGTTCTAGTTCAGTTCTAGTTCAGTTCTAGTTCAGTTCTAGTTCAGTTCTAGTTCAGTTCTAGTTCAGTTCTAGTTCAGTTCTAGTTCAGTTCTAGTTCAGTTCTAGTTCAGTTCTAGTTCAGTTCTAGTTCAGTTCTAGTTCAGTTCTAGTTCAGTTCTAGTTCAGTTCTAGTTCAGTTCTAGTTCAGTTCTAGTTCAGTTCTAGTTCAGTTCTAGTTCAGTTCTAGTTCAGTTCTAGTTCAGTTCTAGTTCAGTTCTAGTTCAGTTCTAGTTAGTTCAGTTCTAGTTCTGTTCTAGTTCAGTTCTAGTTCAGTTCTAGTTCAGTTCTAGTTCAGTTCTAGTTCAGTTCTAGTTCAGTTCTAGTTCAGTTCTAGTTCAGTTCTAGTTCGGTTCTAGTTCAGTTCTAGTTCAGTTCTAGTTCAGTTCTAGTTCAGTTCTAGTTCAGTTCTAGTTCAGTTCTAGTTCAGTTCTAGTTCAGTTCTAGTTCAGTTCTAGTTCAGTTCTAGTTCAGTTCTAGTTCAGTTCTAGTTCAGTTCTAGTTCAGTTCTAGTTCAGTTCTAGTTCAGTTCTAGTTCAGTTCTAGTTCAGTTCTAGTTCAGTTCTAGTTCAGTTCTAGTTCAGTTCTAGTTCAGTTCTAGTTCAGTTCTAGTTCAGTTCTAGTTCTTGTTGAGTTCTATTTTGGTGAATCACTTCTAATTCAGTTCGATTTAAGTACTGGTTTAGTACAAGTTCAGTCAATCAGTTTTTACAATTCTTCTAATATTGAGAAAAACAAGGAGCAAGGAAATGAAGTGCTTCACTCTTAAATCGCAAAAGCCACTCCTAATGTATACATGTTCCCCAACATATACCCTCAAGCTAATTGTGTAAAACTAAGAAAACCAATAGTAGAACAAAAACGTAACGATAAAAAGTTATCGTTTAACCTCCCACCCCATTCCAACTCCATTTCTCATTTCATATTCATACTCACATTCTTCGCAATTTTCACTGCCGGTGATAATACATTTTCCTTTTTTATTACGAGTCCAATTTTGCAGGCATGTTAGACAAAAACCATTGGTCGTACATGTGGCGCAACCCGTCGGACACGCTACACATTCTTGGCGTTTTTTATCAGCATAGTAACCGTCTGGACAGCGATTTAAACATTTACCATCGAGGGCATAACGACCGGAACGACAAGTGATGCATTGTGATTCCGCCGAACCGTTGCAAGTGTCACAAGATGAATGGCATGAAGCGCAGCTAAAAGGAAAAAAAGTAAACAAGAAAAGAATTTAGCAGGGGACCAAACATTTTGGTGGGTGGCTACAAAAGAGTGTAAACAGATACACATATAGTTGAATTTAACAGTAACAAAAAAGTTAATTTAGTTTAAGCCTAAAAGTAGACTATAAGAAAAACCTCCTGTAGCATAGTTTAAGTTGTTTCAGAAAGCATTTGCATATAGGTTAGGGATTTTTTCCTTATAATTTCAAATGGTTTTTTGATTGCCAAACAGCTTGCAGGAAAAAAAACAAAATATTTTGCAATGTTATCCAGCAGATATATTTGCATGCTAAAAAAATTCAAATTGCTAGCAATTTTTAGCTATTTTTCTTTATTTTACTTAAAGTTTTAGTCTGAAAAATATTTCAACTAATAATGAAGAATGAAAAATTCTTTCAGAAAAAACAGAATTTATTTTTTCGTACCTAAACCCCAAACAAATTCTATTGTAACTTTAAACACGTTTTAACTTAGATGAATAGAAAGATACATTACCAAACATCGACTACTGAAGTATATGCACTTTTGTATATGGAGAAAACTTTCACATGGGTATACACATACATTTATATTTCTGAATATTTTTTTCAATTGCCACATCATCATTGATGCTGCAGTTGCAATAACTGAATACAAAAGATGTTGTTAAGTTTGGTTTGTAATTTTTTCCGAATCCTTTTTCTACGTATACATATACATATGTTTGTACGTGGTAGTAGTTTCAATTGCAATTCATTCATTGCATTCAATTTGCATTGAATATGAAACCATAGAAATATGGAGAAAAAGAAAAATACTCTCATTATGATGATGGTTGTATTATAGCTGAAGAATTCTTTTGATTTGCATGATTTTTTCTCTTTGGCATAGTGGCTGTAGTATGTGGAAACGGACTTTAGCAAGTGTGGGAAAATTATATTTGTTTGTGGAAAATCTTACCTAAAGCCCTTCTTAATTTCAAATTTGTATATCAATCGAATACCTTTCAATTTAATTTATCTGTGTGTGTTCTAACTAATTAATGCCCGCAATTTTAAAGCACATAATATAAACAATTCACGAACTTTGCAACTGAACTAGAACTGAACTAGAACTGAACTAGAACTGAACTAGAACTGAACTAGAACTGAACTAGAACTGAACTAGAACTGAACTAGAACTGAACTAGAACTGAACTAGAACTGAACTAGAACTGAACTAGAACTGAACTAGAACTGAACTAGAACCGAACTAGAACTGAACTAGAACTGAACTAGAACTGAACTAGAACTGAACTAGAACTGAACTAGAACTGAACTAGAACTGAACAGAACTGAACTGAAACTGAAAGTAGAACTGAACTAGAACTGAACTAGAACTGGAACTAGAACTGAACTAGAACTGAACTAGAACTGAACTAGGAACTGAAACTAGAACTGACTAGAAAACTGAACTAGAACTGAACTAGAAACTGAACTAGAACTGAACTAGAACTGAACTAGAACTGAACTAGAACTGAACTAGACGAAATAGAACTGAACTAGAATGAACTAGAACTGAACTAGAACTGAACTAGAACTGAACTAGAACTGAACTAGAACTGAACTAGAACTGAACTAGAACTGAACTAGAACTGAACTAGAACTGAACTAGAACTGAACTAGAACTGAACTAGAACTGAAGTAGAACTGAACTAGAACTGAACTAGAACTGAACTAGAACTGAACTAGAACTGAACTAGAACTGAACTAGAACTGAACTAGAACTGAACTAGAACTGAACTAGAACTGAACTAGAACTGAACTAGAACTGAACTAGAACTGAACTAGAACTGAACTAGAACTGAACTAAATGAAACTAGAACTGAACTAGAACTGAACTAGAACTGAACTAGAACTGAACTAGAACTGAACTAGAACTGAACTAGAACTGAACTAGAACTGAACTAGAACTGAACTAGAGAACTGAACTAGAACTGAACTAGAACTGAACTAGAACTGAACTAGAACTGAACTAGAACTGAACTAGAACTGAACTAGAACTGAACTAGAACTGAACTAGAACTGAACTAGAACTGAACTAGAACTGAACTAGAACTGAACTAGAAACTGAACTAGAACTGAACTAGAACTGAACTAGAACTGAACTAGAACTGAACTAGAACTGAACTAGAACTGAACTAGAACTGAACTAGAACTGAACTAGAACTGAACTAAACTGAACTAGAACTGAACTAGAACTGAACTAGAACTGAACTAGAACTGAACTAGAACTGAACTAGAACTGAACTAGAACTGAACTAGAACTGAACTAGAACTGAACTAGAACTGAACTAGAACTGAACTAGAACTGAACTAGATTTGAACTAGAACTGAACTAGAACTGAACTAGAACTGAACTAGAACTGAACTAGAACTGAACTAGAACTGAACTAGAACTGAACTAGAACTGAACTAGAACTGAACTAGAACTGAACTAGAACTGAACTAGAACTGAACTAGAACTGAACTAGAACTGAACTAGAACTGAACTAGAACTGAACTAGAACTGAACTAGAACTGAACTAGAACTGAACTAGAACTGAACTAGAACTGAACTAGAACTGAACTAGAACTGAACTAGAACTGAACTAGAACTGAACTAGAACTGAACTAGAACTGAACTAGAACTGAACTAGAACTGAACTAGAACTGAACTAGAACTGAACTAGAACTGAACTAGAACTGAACTAGAACTGAACTAGAACTGAACTAGAACTGAACTAGAACTGAACTAGAACTGAACTAGAACTGAACTAGAACTGAACTAGAACTGAACTAGAACTGAACTAGAACTGAACTAGAACTGAACTAGAACTGAACTAGAACTGACTAGAACTGAACTAGAACTGAACTAGAACTGAACTAGAACTGAACTAGAACTGAACTAGAACTGAACTAGAACTGAACTAGAACTGAACTAGAACTGAACTAGAACTGAACTAGAACTGAACTAGAACTGAACTAGAACTGAACTAGAACTGAACTAGAACTGAACTAGAACTGAACTAGAACTGAACTAGAACTGAACTAGAACTGAACTAGAACTGAACTAGAACTGAACTAGAACTGAACTAGAACTGAACTAGAACTGAACTAGAACTGAACTAGAACTGAACTAGAACTGAACTGAACTAAAAAATAATAAATAATTTTTTTCTCATTAGAGACACAATTTTCTCACAATTACTTTTTAATTAAGTACTAATTATTTCTCTTTATTTTTTACCCCTTAAAAGTCCCCTGAGGTAGTTTCTAGAAATTTTCCATATTTTTTGTTGTCATAAATGAAACTTAACAAATTCCCATTAAATTCAATTTGAATTTAATTTAACAATTTTGATGATATCATCAAGCAAAACAACACATAAAGAATATAAACTTGAACATTTAATTTCCTATTCAATTAATGAGATGCAGTAGAGAAAATACCAATCAAATATGTACGAAACTCCATATCGCTACGCCATACATCCATCCATCCCTTCGAACACTTTTCACTCAAACCCCAACTAACCCACAATGGTCGTAAATACTTCAAGTGTCAATTTGCTAATAATACACATGCATTTTGTATCTCGTTATTGAGGTATTAGGTGGATGGAGTGAAAAAAATCTGGTATGAATTAAAGTTATTTCTGTGAAAAACAGCAAGAGAATACATTTGGTAATTATAACGGATGAGGACGTTTTGAAGAGACTATGTTATTGATTTTATAAATTACAGAACTATATGTATATAGCGGTACTTAAAGCTTGAAATAGAATTTTTACATATGTATATCATTAAAATTTATTTAGAAAAATTAATGCCAACATTTATTTAATTGTCTACAATTTTGTTTGTATGCTTATTAATCCCCCCAATAGCTTTACAAAAACATTCATCAGTTATATGGAAAAATACAAGAACTAAGATAGATAACAACTTTATTTAGCAGTGAGTACTTGATTAAACACTAAATGAATTTATAAGTGGCAGTTAATGAGATTGGCGAAAATCATCTACAAAATCAACTAATTAAAACAAAATTTCAAATGGGAAAAGCAAATATTTAATATAAGTCTTGTTTAAAATGTTTCTACTGTTAAATTTAATATAATACAGCTATGTTCATTAACGTTTTATTCATATTTCACACTTCCTAGTAGTTAATTTTTTTTGCAATAAACTTTTTTAAAAATATTTTTATTAACTTAACTATTCTTAAGTTCCCAAGCAACTAAGGCACAATATTAAACAAATGCGTTAAGAGCCAAATAGTTAAAATCATAAAGGTAGGTTCTAAATGGGGTATGTGAATTCTCACTAAACCAAATCAGCAAGATAGGTTTTTGGTATAAATTCTCGCCATACGGATGTAAACTAAAACTGAACTAGAAAGAACTGAACTAGAACTGAACTAGAACTGAACTAGAACTGAACTAGAACTGAACTAGAACTGAACTAGAACTGAACTAGAACTGAACTAGAACTGAACTAGAACTGAACTAGAACTGACTAGAACTGACTAGAACTGAACTAGAACTGAACTAGAACTGAACTAGAACTGAACTAGAACTGAACTAGAACTGAACTAGAACTGACTAGAACTGAACTAGAACTGAACTAGAACTGAACTAGAACTGAACTAGAACTGAACTGAACTAGAACTGAACTAGAACTGAACTAGAACTGAACTAGAACTGAACTAGAACTGAACTAGAACTGAACTAGAACTGAACTAGAACTGAACTAGAACTGAACTAGAACTGAACTAGAACTGAACTAGAACTGAACTAGAACTGAACTAGAACTGAACTAGAACTGAACTAGAACTGAAACTAGAACTGAACTAGAACTGAACTAGAACTGAACTAGAACTGAACTAGAACTGAACTAGAACTGAACTAGAACTGAACTAGAACTGAACTAGAACTGAACTAGAACTGAACTAGAACTGAACTAGAACTGAATAG